CTGGATAGAGACAGATTAAGTTGCTGAAGGGCCCATGCAATTTCCCCACCACCACAACCACCACTTTTGCTTGTCTCAGTCCTGTTCTCAGTATCCCTACTAGATTAGGCCTGCCACTCTACCTAGGTTTGTTGATGTGTTTTACTCATGCCCTACAAGTGTTAGAATAGGATGAGGAGGGCTTCAATAACATGCAATAACAGTTCTGAGGAAATGTGTAAACCTTCAATCCATTTAGAGCATGCAATTAAGTCCTCACCGTCACAACCACCAAATTAACTTCCCAGTTATATTTTAAAATGCCCTAAATGTCATTCATTGAAGTTGTTATAAAGCCAAACTTTGCAGGAGAAGGAACTGTAGATCCACGCATCAGAGCGTACGTGTCTATGACATGACAAGGGAACGTTTTGATTTTCCAGATTCACACAGGAACAGCTTCCCAGCATTTACTACCAGCATTCAAAAATACCAATAGAAGTTGGTGATCTGCAAGATTTTCAGAACACATTTTGAGACCTTGCCATTTTTGAGATACAGCATGACAATAAAGCTTAAGAAGAATTTGCCAAATGGACAGCTAGGCCCTGAGGACCAGAACCTTACTTCACCTCACCAGCTTCTTTGTGCCTCACTGGAAGTAGAAAATGGGGGTGGGGGTAAGGAGGGAGAGAAAGCTGGCTTAAACAGAAGTTGAAGCTATGCCATTCTATACCAGCTGAGGATCTAGCTCAGGGGTTGGCCACCTTTCAGAAGTGGTGTGCCGAGTCTTCATTTATTCACTCTAATTTAAAGTTTCGAGTGCCAGTAATACATTTTAACATTTGTAGGAGGTTTTCTTTCTATAAGTCTGTAATATATAACTAAAGTATTGTTGTATGTAAAGTAAATAAGGTTTTTAAAATGTTTAAGAAGCTTAATTTAAAATTAAATTAAAATGCAGAGCCCCCCGCATCCAACGGCCAGGACCCGGGCCGTGTGAGTGCCACTGAAAATCAGCTCACGTGCCATAGGTTGCCTACCCCTGCTCTACGGCATGCGGCTGGTAACAACAGAATATGGCCATGATGCTGTGAAAATCCTGTATTCACCCCGGCATGTGAATCCTGAACCTGCAGTTCTCCAGAAACAAGTTGCCTCTTTAAAAACCAAACCACAGAATTTACACAGACAGGGCTGTGTTTTCGACAGACATTGCAAAGAGAAATAAGTGATGGGCAGATGGGCGAGAAGGGAGGCAGAGGAAGAAGAAGAAGGGAACAATTCCACAGTTCAAAGGGAACATTTCTCTTTTGTAACATCCTTTCAGAGGAAGTTCTGCGCCACTCTGCTCCGATATCCGGGTTGCCTTATTTGTATCTAACAATGCATTAAAAAGGAGCCCTCTCTAAAACAACAGATCTTGTTCCTCCCTCAACAGCTGCAGAACCTGAAACATGCTATAACTTTTTGATTCGGAATATAAGCTTCCCTCTTCACCAGCTATGACAGAGGAAATAACATATGCGGATCTGGAATTTAATAAATCTTATGCACTGGAAAATATCCCAAAGCCTCCCACTCCTGAGGAAAAAGGTACAATCTCTATTGGGCTTTTTTCGTTATTGTGCTAGAATTAGCTGGGCTGGGAAGTGCTCTCAACCTAGTCTTAGGCAGAATGGACCAAATTCACTCCTCTAACTCCACACTTCTCAGTAGAGTTACACCAGTGGTGAATTTGTCCTGTTTTATTGTCATTATTAATTAACAGAAGGGCAGAAGCAGGCACATTTCTGTTCAAAGCATGGGAAGGAGATGCTGTCTCTCCCCTGAAGATTTTATTATGTAGGGACCCAATCCTGCAAACACTAACTGCTGAGAGTAGTACTTACTGCCATGAATAGTCCTAGTGACTTTGATGGATTACCCAGATGAGTGAGCAGTATGCCAGGTAGTAAGTGTTTGTGTGGGATCAGGCTCTAGAGCAGAGTTGGACAGTCTAGAGAAGATACTGTGCCATCAGTTCATAATCATTTCTGCAAAATCATCCATGGCATGATGCAGCCTAGATTAGGATTTTACTGTTGTCAAACTCTGGTCTGTGGGGAAGTGAAGATTTTTGTTTGCATTCATGTTTGACCTGCTCCAGGTTGCTTCTTGTAATTGTAACATTTGGTGACAAATTATAACCCACTTTTCTGGAGCAGAGTGTTTGTGCTGTCTTCATGTGAGGGGGTGAACACAGCCAGAGAGGAGGGAAACACTTTAAAGAGTCAAAGATGCTTTTTTTAAAAAAGTCCAAGGCAACATTAGTAAGTGGAAGAAAAAACCCCAATTCATGGAGCCTTTTCCTGAAACAATGAATGGGAGATTATTTAAGCAAAACACTCACAAGTCAGGACATTGGTTTGCTATGGCCCCCTGAACAATTTGAGCACAGAGCACCTGCAGCAGCATTTGCATCCAGCAAACCCGGAGTGATTGAAACCAAAAACCACTTCCTTTTTTTGCCTTCAGGCTCCAGCTTGGGGCCGTAGCTCGGTAGTGAAGGTGGAAGGTATTTTCATCTTTACATTCAAAAAAAAGTCAGATTATTTAGCAGTTTTGCCATCTCTATGAAAGTAGCGATCACCAGACGGCATCAGTGTGTTACAGGCCCTGATTCCTGGCTGGGCAGAGGAGCACACAGCATGATTCTGGAGGGGAATGTGCTGAGTAGCTTTAAGCCACCTTTGTGTTCTTCCTGATCCTGAGCCAGTTGTGCTTCAGTCCAGTCCTCTGATATCAATTAGAGCAGTCTGAAGGCTGCTCCAACTTGCTCCAGTTGCTAGTGACCATTAATGGCCATTGGAGCAGTTGGGGATCACGAGAGCTCAGGGAAGCTGATGATTATTTATGCCTTCTTATGCCTTGAAGCATGAGGATCAATAGCCCTGGTAATTTTACCCTCACTACTGTCACAGCAGACGATATTCCTTCTCCTATACGTGTCTAATTCTTTGGTCTCACCATTTTATTATTTTTTAGGAAATTCCACTTTCATTTTCAACCCCTTTGCTCACTCTTTTGATCCTTTCTGTCCAAACCTGGATCCCTAAAAATATTTTCCATTAAAAATATTGTGAAACAAGAAAAACAAAAAAACATTTAAGGGGGACTGGATGATGGTTGACGAGGGATGGAGGATAATTTTAGAGAAAAGGGAGGTAAGCTGATGGTGGGAAAGGACCTGTCATTGCTGGAAGAGAAGGCGGTAAATGGTTATTGGTTGGAAGAGATACCAGTGCTGGAAGGGTGGACATCTCGTTTGCTCAGTATTATAGACTTTAGACTTTAAGGTCAGAAGGGACCATTATGATCATCTAGTCTGACCTCCTGCACAACACAGGCCACAGAATCTCACCCACCCACTCCTGTATCAACCCCCCACTGCTCCCCTTGGAAGACTGTTACAGAACTTCACTCCTCTGATGGTTAGAAACCTTTGTCTAATTTCAAGTCTAAACTTCCTAATGTCCAGTTTATATCAATTTCTTCTTGTGTCCACATTGGTACTGAGCTTAAATAATTCCTCTCCCTCCCTGGTATTTATGCCTGTGATATATTTATAGAGAGCAATCATATCTCCCCTTAGCCTTCTTTTAGTTAGGCTAAACAAGCCAAGCTCTTTGAGTCTCCTTTCATAAAACAGGTTTTCCAGTCCTCGGATCATCCTAGTAGCCCTTCTCTGTACATGTTCCAGTTTGAATTCATCCTTCTTAAACATGGGAGACCAGAACTGCACACAGTATTCCGGATGAGGTCTCACCAGTGCCTCATATAATTATACAAACACCTCCTTATCTCTACTGGAAATACCTCACCTGATGCATCCCAAGACCGCATTAGCTTTTTTCACGGACATATCACATTGGTGACTCATAGTCATCCTGTGATCAACCAATACTCCGAGGTCCTTCTCTTCCTCTGTTACTTCCAACTGATGCATCCCCAGTTTATAACAAAACTTCTTGTTATTAATCCCTAAATGCATGACCTTGCACTTTTCACTATTAAATTTCATCCTATTACTATTACTCCAGTTTACAAGGTCATCCAGATCTTCCTGTATGATATCTCAGTCCTCTGTATTGGCAATACTTCCCAGCTTTGTGTCATCCATAAACTTTATTAGCACATTCCCACTTTTTGTGCCAAGGTCAGTAATAAAAAGATTAAATAAGATTGGTCCCAAAACCGATCCCTGAGGAACTCCGCTAGTAACCTCCCTCCAGGCTGACAGTTCACCTTTCAGTATGACCCGTTGTAGTCTCCCCTTTAACCAGTTCCTTATCCACCTTTCATATTGATCCCCATCTTTTCCAATTTAGCTAATAATTCCCCATGTGGAACCGTATCAAATGCCTGACTGAAATCGAGGTAAATTAGATCTACAGCGTTTCCTTTGTCTAAATGATCTGTTACCTTCTCAAAGCAGGAGATCAGGTTGGTTTGGCACGATCTACCTTTTGTAAAACCATGTTGTATTTTGTCCCTATTACCATTGACCTCAATGTCCTTAACTACTTTCTCCTTCAAGCCATGGTGTTGCCTAATAAGGAGAAAATAGAAAAAACCACACCAAGTCTGAACTATTCTGGAATAATGTGCAGTGGGTTTGATTCACCCCACATGTACAGACATGGCACATTACAAGTCCCTTCATCAGCAAAGGCTGTTGCTGTGGCCTGAGAAGAATTCACCCCTCGGAAGGCAGGTAATGCTTCCAGCTTTAATCTCTACTTTGGGCTCCATAGGACCTCTGCAGACAGATTGCCATGGGGGTGACCCCAGTCTGGTGTCTGTTTTGAGCAGTTGCAACTCCCTGCAGTGGAAGGGATGTTTTAGGCACGTTGTGTAGCTGCAGTCCCCTCCACGCAGACTTCTTATCATCCTGTACCAGAGTCTGCACTATCAGCACATGGCTCAGTGTCCTTGCGAGTGGGTGAGGAAAAGAAGAAAAACAATAGAAGCAAAATATGGAATTTTCAGAATCTGCCTCTTTCAGTTACTGAGTTCATTTTTGGTTTCTCTCAGGTCTCCTTACTTCATTCCCATGGCGTCTGGCTGCCCTGACTTTGCTCACATTGTGTCTGGCATTATTGGTAGGACTGCTAGCCCTGGGGGTTGTGTGTAAGTAACAATACATATTTATTTGGTGACTTTAATGATGGTGAAAGATGCCATCCCCTATAGGTCGAAGTTCTTGATTTAGCCATAGAGCTGGTACAGCACAGACAGGCTCTGCCTCACTCATTACTATACATTACCTTGGCCCTGCTCCAGTGGTATCACTACTACAAGTGACAATCTCAATAGCCCATTCATGCCTGGACCTCTCTTATTAAATTGCCAAAAGCGAGGCCTGTTTGTGTCAGCTGCAGTAATCTGTCCCAGTGGGAATAGGACTGACTTCCAGTATCTCATTTCATGCTAATTTGCATCACTTTTGGATACTAGTGACCTGCTCTGGATACAAATTCAAGATGGAAAGGTGGAAGGGTCCATGTCCCATGAACAGGTCACCTCATTTAAAAAAAAATAAACAGAAAAATTACATTTGACCCCTGAGTTCATCATTATCTGATATTTCTGTAAAATAAGGATAAAAAGAAATCAAGTCAATGGAATGACCAATAATTGAAAGCAACAATTATATTTTATTATTTATTCAGATTTAAATAATAAAAGGACAATTATAGAAAAGCTGTAGTCACCCTGATAATTAACACTCATACTTAATAATCCCAGCAGCATTTAAAAGTAACTGTTCAGAAAAGAACAAAATGGAGTATGGACAGCCAGTGATCCAAATGCAAAAAAAAAAAAAAAACCCTTTCCATCCCAAAATCATGCTAGAAAATGTTTGTATGAATTTCAGTTTTCCAAGTTACCAACATCTGCCAGGAAGAGAATGTAAAACTCAAGCAGAAGGAGAAAGCTCTGCAAACAAATTTCTCAAGCAGGCTGCAAGAAATAACAGAGAGTTTGTGTCTGGAAGGGGAAGTGAAGAATAAAAATAATGGTAAACAAAGTTGTAATACACCCAGACTTAATCCGTTGTCCCAGGATGAGTAATAACACAGGGCAATGCAATGCAACAGTCCCCTCACACACAGCATCTCACGCTAATCCTGAGCTCAGTAAAACTGTTGCTGAGTAAGCAGGGATTAAGGAGAGAAATGAGCTGTAAGGGAATTCTGTTTCCAGGACACTTTCGATTTTTATTCTCTCTGATGAAATTGCTTACAAGATAGATAATTAGAGCCTCTCATGATGGTGATAACAAACCACCAAGAACTAGAGTGAGATTAACCCATTTATTACACAGAATATGAAACAGATGTCAGGTGGGGATAGTACCCTTATAGTATTCAATGTGGTAAATCAGGATTCCACTCCCATTCAGTCTCTGGGATCAGTGGTAAGGGCACAGCAGAAAGAAGTGAAGTGTGTTGGAGTGTGGAAGGGGCACCATGCTCAGTCCTTTGGGAGGTAGGAGTGCCTCATATTTTTCAGAATAGACTCCTCTGACTGATTAAGGGGCAATACTAATGGTCTTCTAAGGCAAATTCAACATGGAACCTTAACGAAGGGTGAGTTAGGTGAATCAGAAAATGGGTAGAATAAACAGGAAAGATCTTAGGGTCTTCGACTGTGAAGCAGGGAATCAGCCCCAGGGAGATGGGAAAAAAGTAACTTACTTTGGAACTTCTGAAAAGAGATCTATTATCCAAATCTTACTGGTTGGAGAAAAACTGAGCAGGGTGATTGGCAATAATGGGAAATAACCCCCATCTCACAAAACTGTTGTGCAGGGAGAAATCAGATCGAAAAAGTGTCTGATTTTTTTCCACACGACTCATAAAACCATAAAAATTATTGGTGGGTACCACATGTTGCCGGTGGCCAATATATTGTACATTCTCTGGATCCCTGTCCTCTGGCCAATTCAAGATTGTTAGTACAGTATATTTACCAATGCCAGACAGTTCTTCAAGCAATCAGACTTCTGCCATTTCCTTGGGAGACTATTCCATGGTCTAGTTAACCTCCATCCAAAGTATCAACATGGGGAACGCAATGTCTGACAATGCCCAAATGAGTTCAGCGTTGACACTTTTTGCTCTGTTTTTACTTAGTCAAATTTCTTTTGAACTCAATGGAACTTTGACTCACTGAAGACTGAGTAAAATCTCAGTATTTGGAGCCATGGAGAATTAGGCATCACAACTCTTTGATTACCTTGCCATCCCAAGACAATGCCTGTAGCCCTCGTTTTCTCCACATCACAGCGTGGGATTAAAAACAGAATGATGATTTTTCTCTTTTCTCCAGAAATGAGTTGTACACTCTGCCCCACAAACTGGCAACGAATGGGAGAAGACACCTGTTACTATATTTCTTCAGGGAAGAAGACATGGGAGGGGAGTCGGAACTTCTGTGCCTCACAAAATTCCACCCTTCTCATGATAAAATACAAGGAGAAGCTGGTATGTTCCCCAGCCCAGCCTAGTTTCCTTTTATATTTCTGTGTAACTTTCAGAAGTCTCCACAAAACAGAAAATATGTTTTGGCTAGTGTATCTCCAGCTATTCAATACCCGCAGACTCTGTACAGTAGGCCAGATCCATGTAAATTAGCATAGTTCCAAAGACATCATTGTATAACAAGGGTTACTGATATTAAAATTGTATTGCCAGTCACAGCACATTAAAAATAAACACAGTTTATGTGACTCTCTTGAATCACAGCATAGTTATGAGCATTGAGTCTTTCACAAAGGATTTTTACCCCCCTTGGGGATGATTTAAGGCAGAGGATTGACCAGTGCTCTAAGGAAAACAGTTGTCCTGCTCTCCTGGCTGGTAGAGGGATGTAGAGGAGAGGTTTTAAAGTTGCAAGCCAGGTGTGCAGAGCCAGTCCTATTAAGAGACTTACAATGTTAAGAGGCTTGGTTTGTGGTTGCTGGATACTGTCATTTTAAAGTATTTCCCCCTCTTCCCCGATAACAGCAATATGTGCTTTTGTTGCTTGGAGCTTGGCTTTACTTATTTGATCTGCCCAAACAAGAAATGCCCATCTCACATTCATTACATGTGAGACAGTTGAGGGCAATTGCACCGGCATTTCCACAGCATGGAGCAGCAAGGGTGGAGACTTGCATCTCTCTCCATTTTATCTGGGGTATTTTCAGGCTGCACAGTTCCCTACATACACTGTGATATCCCCCAGCAATGTAGATGTCCTAAATGGCCAGCATCTGCACTTTCCTTTTTCTCCAGAGGCTATAAACAGCATAACTGCCCATAGTTGTAAGTTACCATACAACTCTAAGGAAGCACATTTATTCTTAAGGTGAAAGCATTACAGAGGGTACATATTAAAAGAACCTACATGCATGCTAATAAGTTTACCAGAGATCACTTCCAACTCCAACAAGGGTTCAGTTAGGTGAGCTGTTCTTCAGACCACACCAAGGCGGTTTTCTGTTTGTAACAGCTTTAACTCAGAACAAGTGCACTCGAGAAAATGTTCGTCTTTCCTTTATCACTGTAGGTCCTTCATCTTCAGATTTCTGGGAGCAGGTAACCAGTAGACAATGGTTCTCTCCTCAGGGTGTAGCTTCAAAAGCCTGGGCTTTTGCACAACCAGAGGGAGGTAAATTTGCATTCACCTCCACCTAGAGATTCCCACCTAACTCTGTTTGTCCCAAAAGTTCATTCTTGTCTGGCACATTGTTGAAAATAGTCCTTTGAAGCTCAACACTTCCCAAGACATTAGCTATGTCTGTTCCCTAGAGACATTACGTACAATCCCACATTTATAAATGAATTTTGAATTTTCAGTACAATGGACTCCATCTACACTTAAACTTCATTCAATAATTTTTTTCAAGGTCATTGCAGGGAATTGCCATATCTGCCATGTATCCGTCCTAAAGAACTGGGTGTAACAAGGGTGCTAGTAGAACCCCTGGACGTATTTCCCAGAGCAGGTTAATTCCTTCTATGGTTTCTTCGTTATGATCTTTCATAATTTCCCATTTCAACTCTTCAGATAATAAACATTGTGCTATCAAGCCACCATCCATCCTTTAAAATTCCATACAGCGTCATTTCTCCCTTCTTCCCTTTGTTATCATATAGAGTAATTTGACAAACATCCTGTATAATTTTTCTCCCCTTCTTTCCCTTCTTACATCAAAAGCTTTAGGTGTAAACTTGAGACCTGGTCCGTCCACTCCCACCTGTAACCTGGTTTCTAGGGAGGGTGTGGGTTTCCTTTATCCACCAAGGGGCTGGCTGTCCCAATGATGGGTTGAAATTCCACATCCCCCTTGGAAATTTTGCAAGCAGCAATTTTTTGGACCAAAGGGAGAAATAAGGAAGGGATGCCTCCCTATGAAGTGGTTCTCAATCATGTTCTGCATTTACCAGCAAAGGGGTCAGGCAACGGAGATTCTTCAAACCTCCACCATAGCCAAATTCCTTTCTCTGCTCCACTTCCCCAGTGGGTCAAAACCCAGAGACTCTGTTGGCCTAACCTCAGCTTCTCTAGAGAGAGAAGGAGGAATCTTGATCCCCTACCCCACTGAAGGCGGGGCTTTTGTTCCCCAGAACCTGAGTCAAGGTGAGCAGAATTCCTTCTCTCATAAGGGCTAGGGTCCTTTACATTTTCACAGGCCACCAGACAGTCACAGACTGTGGGAAGAAATTCCCCTTCCTTCCCAGCTAGAATTACCTCTCTCATTTCCCTGGAGTATAAAGCTGTCTCTCCCAGTCCCAAGGACCAGTCATTTACCCCACGTGCACGGCACTTTATATCTTACAACAAAGGACAATTGTAGTCAATCCTATGATAAATGAACTAAAGATTGATTGGCTAAGAAATACGAGAGTTATTCACAAAGTTAAAGCAGATATACACAAATGAGTTACAGTCTATGATTTCCAAAAGCTGACAGAGTTGTAGTAATGTCAGCTCTGTCTTCTAGGGCATCCTCAGGTTGACCCTGGGGATCTCTGCCTCTGTTTCATAGCTCCAGCCCTGTGAGAGTCCAAACAGCAAAGACTTTAAAAAATTTCTTGCCAGCTCTTTTTATTTCCTTCTCCAGAACGCAAGCTGATGGGACAGGCCCTTTTACAAGTAGCCTCTTCGTGAGTGTGAAGGGACAATTAACAAGGTCTTTTATTATGATGTCCCCCAATGGCCCATTTAGTTTTCATGGACTTCTTGATGAGCATGAGACAAATCCTGCTGCTGGGTCACACTTTCAGAGGAAACATTTGTTACAGGTATAAAGCAAAACTTAAATATTACCTTATAGCATGTGATAAAGATATTACAAGTGAGATTAATGCCTGCAGCAATGTACAAGCATTTCATAAAATCTAAACACTAAAAGCATTGATATAAGTCCAATACGCATATTAACCATACTAACACACAGGTGAAGCAGACTGGTTTCCAGCAATGACTTAGTCAGTACACAGGCTGAGGCCTAAAGCCTTGGCAAGATCTGGCTCCTGGTTTGCCAGTGCCCCTGCCCCATTTCAAAAACAATTAGAGACACAGCCATGTCATCCCCTCCATAAAGAGAGGAAGTAGTTTGGAATCTCTGACTGCCCTGGGACAGGTATCTGAGGTCTAGCTTCACTTAGATTACTACAGTTCTGATGGTGCAGTTTCTCCATCTCGAGCTGAGATTGACACTCCTTCCCCTTCTCTTCTCTCTCATGCTAGTGCTGTTACTCCTAGTCTGTTGTCTCTTGCTCCTGATCTTTAAGCTGTTGGATTTTCAGATGCAGTCAGTCCCTCTCCAACTGTATCCTGCCCTGATCCACCTGTGGACCTGTCCCCAATCCCAGATGCAGTGATATAAGAACATAAGAACATAAGAACGGCCGTACTGGGTCAGACCAAAGGTCCATCTAGCCCAGTATCCTGTCTACCGACAGTGGCCAATGCCAGGTGCCCCAGAGGGAGTGGACCTAACAGGTAATGATCAAGTGATCTCTCTCCTGCCATCCATCTCCATCCTCTGACAAACAGAGGCTAGGGACACCATTCCTTACCCATCCTGGCTAATAGCCATTAATGGACTTAACCACCATGAATTTATCTAGTTCTCTTTTAAACGCTGTTATAGTCCTAGCCTTCACAACCTCCTCAGGTAAGGAGTTCCACAAGTTGACTGTGCGCTGCGTGAAGAAGAACTTCCTTGTATTTGTTTTAAACCTGCTCCCTATTAATTTCATTTGGTGACCCCTAGTTCTTGTATTATGGGAATAAGTAAATAACTTTTCCTTATCCACTTTTTCCACATCACTCATGATTTTATATACCTCTATCATATCCCCCGTAGTCTCCTCTTTTCCAAGCTGAAGAGTCCTAACCTCTTTAATCTCTCCTCATATGGGACCCTCTCCAAACCCCTAATCATTTTAGTTGCCCTTTTCTGAACCTTTTCTAGTGCCCGTATATCTTTTTTGAGATGAGGAGACCACATCTGTATGCAGTATTCGAGATGTGGGCATACCATCGATTTATATAAGGGCAATAATATATTCTCCGTCTTATTCTCTATCCCCTTTTTAATGATTCCTAACATCCTGTTTGCTTTTTTGACAGCCTCTGTACACTGCATGGACATCTTCAGAGAACTATCCAAAATGACTCCAAGATCTTTTTCCTGACTTGTTGTAGCTAAATTAGCCCCCATCATATTGTATGTATAGTTGGGGTTATTTTTTCCAATGTGCATTACTTTACATTTATCCACATTAAATTTCATTTGCCATTTTGTTGCCCAATCAGTTAGTTTTGTGAGATCTTTTTGAAGTTCGTCACAGTCTGCTTTGGTTTTAACTATTTTGAGCAGTTTAGTATCATCTGCAAACTTTGCCACCTCACTGTTTACCCCTTTCTCCAGATCATTTATGAATAAGTTGAATAGGATTGGTCCGAGGACTGACCCTTGGGGAACACCACTAGTTACCCCTCTCCATTCTGAGAATTTACCATTAATTCCTATCCTTTGTTCCCTGTCTTTTAACCAGTTCTCAATCCATGAAAGGACCTTCCCTTTTATCCCATGACAGCTTAATTTACATAAGAGCCTCTGGTGGAGGGACCGTGTCAAAGGCTTTCTGGAAATCTAAGTACACTATGTCCACTGGATCCCCTTGTCCACATGTTTGTTGACCCCTTCAAAGAATTCTAATAGATTAGTAAGACACAATTTCCCTTTACAGAAAACATGTTGACTATTGCTCAACAGTTTATGTTTTTCTATGTGTCTGACAATTTTATTCTTAACTATTGTTTCGACTAATTTGCCCGGTACCAACGTTAGACTTACCGGTCTGTAATTGCTGGGATCACCTCTAGAACCCTTTTTAAATATTGGTGTTACATTAGCTAACTTCCAGTCATTGGGTACAGGAGCCGATTTAAGGGACAGGTTACAAACCTTAGTTAATAGTTCCGC